ATCTACGAAACCAAAATTGCAAATAATTTGCTGTTACAGTATCGGAACTATAAACACCATTCATAATTTTAGCCGCTTGGCTTGCATTTTCGCCTTTGTGGCAAATTTAGTACCATTTAGAACACATTTGTACAAATTTCCAAATTTCACTTCCCACACAAATCCCAAATTGTACCAAATGTAGTACAAGTTAGTACTTGTCGTGCACATAACAAAAAAAATTTCCAAAAACTACCAACATGTCGCTATCCTACACTCCGACGGTAATGTTAATTTCAAGATTCCAGCTCCCCTGGTTTCACCAAATTAAGTACAGCTTTCAAAATCACCTCTTTTTATCGAGTCTACTTCTCAACCTTAGTTCGCATTTTAAATTTCAAGTTTTTGACTCTATCCATTCACATGCTGCGAAATTGCACAAAATTTAGTACATTTTAGTACTTTTCGGATACTTAAAGTTCAAATTTCCAAAAAAAAAAAAAAAAAGAAATAAAATCTCCATCAGTGACTTAATTTCAAATTTAAGAGTTCTACACATAAAAATGGTATGACATTTACTTTTTAAAACATTTTTTGCCGTTCCAGAACAAATTTCCGAAAACCAAGCCTTATCTGAAACCATTGGACCTCACTCCAAAGCTTCAACCGTTGCGTCTGGGCGTTGATGAATCTTTAAGTCAACCATTCAGTAAGTCATTCAATAACTTTTCTCTTTTATTAGTATAGATTACATCCACATTGGTGCAAACTGCTACCAAGGGCTTCAAAATACCGGAAATCGGTCGGTATCGTAATATGAAAGCAATACCAAAATGTGGTTTTGGTAGAAAGATTTGACAGCCATTAAGAACCTGAAAAATCCAATTACAACAGAACGTGCCCAAACCCTTCAAAATAACGAATAATGGTGTGGGGGACCATATACCCGGAAAGTTTGGCCAATATTTGTATGGAGCTTTTCTACTTAATAAGAATCCAAAATATCAAAATGCACATAATTTTCTGGAAAAATATACCCAAGCTCTCGAGGTAGCGTTAAAAAATGGAAACTCAAAATACTAAATTAGGTTGAAAAGCTTGCGCAAAAACTTTAAAATACCAAATATTGCCGGTAATCCACAATACCGCGGGTTACTCCGAAACAGATATAGCAGATATAAATGTTGGTAGGGAGATCTAATGCTCAATAAGAATACCTAATATCAAATTAGAGCCAATTCTGTTAAAAAGGGTACCCAAAAGCTTCAAAATACCGAATATTGAGGCTTGCCGTTGTATGGGGCTACTCTGAACAGTGGTCTAATATCTCATTTTTAATACCAAACAAATTTCAAAACTCTATCTTAAATATTGCGATCTTTATCGTGATTATTATCAGGAGGGTATTTTTACCTCCCTGTGAATACATTTGTCAGTCACTACAGCTATATATCCTGCACATACACTGCTGCTACTATTAGGGTGTTTGATGTTGACTAGTAGATATATCGATAATCTCAATTATAAAAAATGGTGATTTTCAGAGATGTTTTTCAATCATTGAACTGAAATATAGAGCAATACAGATGATTTTTGGTAAAAGGGCATATAGAATAAGAGCTATTCCATATAGTTCTGTGTTTTGAAATCTTGAGGGTTGGCATATAAGTAAACCTCACGATTCACGCTTATAAACATAAAGTCTACAAAAATTATGAGAAAAGAAAACCAGAGTTAGTTTGCCTCCTCCTTTCCAAGAACTATTTTTATTTTCTGCACTTGTTTTTATATATATTTTTTTAAATAAATAAAATTGGTGTAGCCCTCAGGCATGGAATGGAAGAAAAAGTATTAAAACAAAAATTGAAAACAAAATAACAACAAATAAATATTATATTTTGTCTAAGTAAGAGAGTGTGTTGCGAAAAAACCTAAGTGCCATACAGTGGCACGTATCAGCGATACAAAACGTTAACTCAACATTGTTAAAGTGAGAGAGGAATACTCATATGCACACACACAGACAAACACATATATACGCAAAGCAATGCTATGCAAGGACATTGCCAGCAGCTGTTTTCTTCACTTCAAATCATGGATATTTCATATTTAGCCCCACGAAAAATACATAGACATACTGAGTACACAACACTGGCGTACGTACATACATATATATAAATAAATATTTGTGGCGGGCTTGAGTACACATATATTAGGTAGATAGTATATAAGTGTGTGTGTATATATATGAGATATTGAATTTTAAAAATGAAACTATGTTGTAGGTTATAGTAGACAAAGATAAAAAATATATTTCGACGTTAATAATTTTGTAGAATGAAAAGTAAGGAGTTTCCATAGAGGAGTTGAAAAGAGTCTATATACACTAGCTAAAGTGGGTCTCTATTAACTACGGAATAGTAATCGGTTTGGACGATTTGAAAGAAGTCTCTATATATCAGTTGAAGGAAATCTTTAGAGAAGATAGTATCCATAGATGAATTAAAGGTTGTCTCTATATATGAGCTGAGGAAAATATCATAGATGAGCTGAATAGAGTATCAATAGGTGGCCTAGACAAAAGTATGTATGACCTGACTAATATTTCCATTTGTACGTACGTTTCTAAGGTTTGACGTTCGACCGTGTGTTCTGTTTACAGTTTGATAATTTTTCAAAACTTTCGACGTAGATTATCGGTACAGGTGTGAAATCTAATCTACGTATGATATAGAAGCGCCGGAGTGTGACTTCGCGTGAGTTGGTGGCATCCTAGAGTATTTCACCCACCTGAATACATTCGACATTCCATACAAATCTTGTTGTGAAAAGTATCGTTCTCGATGGATTCCACAAAATTTGAGAATCAATCGAAAAAAATGGACCAAATAGCGTAATTGCTGCCTAATCGAAACTTGTTTGCCTACCCTAGGCGTACATTCAAAATTTCTCAAATAAGTACGGACTTTCATATGTGGGCTATGTCATAAAAGCTAAATAAATTACAATCAGGTTGGAATCATAGGCTAGGAATTTCAACATGCCAAAAGTTTAGCGGGACCTTTCTCTGGGGCTATTTGTAAACATAGACCTATATTTAACATTTTCTGGGAGATTTTTTTTCAACAGGAAATAGGAATCATATGGTAGGAAAAATCGGTTATACCTTCAAAATATTGAAAATGCCGGAATGCCAAGAATGACAAAATACAAACCTTTCGATAGAAAAAGGTGACAAAAACAAAAATATTAAAAATTCTGCACTTAGGTTGGGTCCTGTAAATGGGAGCAACGTCAAAGCATAGGCATATATTGATCATTTTCTGTAGAACATCCGAAAACTCAATATTACATGTACTTCGATTGTAAAATATATCGAAAATATTCAAAGTTCTCAAAATGGAGAATGAAATTTATATAGTGGCTATGTGAAAATATGAACTTTGAGAATTCCGAATTGGATGTGATTGAAGCCTTCAAATACTGAAAATAGGGCTAAATCTTTATATAGCGGATAGCGGGTCTTCGGTGAAAATTTTGATGTTTTGCGTCAGTATAATTTTTAAACACGACAAAGGCCACTTTTATGGCCCAGTCCCCACGAAATTTTGCATGTAGGATGGGCTCTGGCCAATGATCGGATAATATTTATGGGCCAAGCATTTATTTCTTCTGTTTTTCTGATCACTCTATAGGTCGCAAATGTCGAATACCACGACATTTTCCACCAGGAAGGGAATCTGGCCATGGAATAAGCATAATGTTTTGATGAAGATGGGTCAATATTTAGCTGGTCAAATGGACAAAGACTTTTTTAGATAAATGACAAAATTCGTATTCTGGGGCGTATATATTTACTCCTGAAGGACATAGACCCAAGAAAACCCTATAATTTTTGGTGATGTTGAGATAATATTTAGGAGGTGCAATGAACCGAAACTTTATTTTAGTCAGATTTTCTAGACGCTGTAGAGTTCATTATTATATTGTATACAGTGAAGGGGATCTAACCAAATTTTTATTTTATGACATAAATATTCAACTCGGCTAAACAAGATTAAGAAAAAATGCCAGGGTTAGAAAGTAGAGCTATTGACATGGAATCGGTCAAAAGAGTGCAAATATCGCCGAATTTGGCCCAGACTCAGAAAATAGAACAGCAGAATGTTAGTTTGTCATGGTAGTTGTGTAGGATATCATATGGTCGGCCCCATCTATATTTATACTCACTGGTTTTTTTATTATACCACTAAATTAACATCATTATTCAGATAATTTTTTTAATAGAAAATCATATCATCAATGGAAAATAATCTTCCTCCAGAAACTAAAGACATTTTCTGTTCTTTCTTTACTAAATCAATTTTCGAACAGAGCTCCTAAAGATATTTGCATATATCCATAGCCAAAGTTCACAAAAATAAATTCTCAACATAAATATTCACAGCTTCTAACGTTGTATCCTTTCATATAAATATTAGTTAAGCTGTTGAGGGCAACGTGGCGTGCAAACTATAAAATAGATGAATGAACTTACAACAGCTACCACTTCGAATGGGTAACTCTATGAGGAGCAGCAAAAAAAAAAATCAATATACGATTATGTACATTTGAACGTACATTTACTTCTATAATGCTATGTCAATGATTTGCTGTTACAATGTTTGCAGATATTCCAGATTGCAGAATCTATATACGTATGGTAAATGGAAAGCAAATATATGGATATTGGCTCAATTTTATCGGAGGGCAAAGAAAGAGGTTAAGTTTATTGCAAATTTTCAAGTGTAAATATTTATGAATGCAAATGGGTAGAAGCAAAATATTGTCATAATTTACGTAGAATATATACCAGAGGCGAAGAGAAGGAAAAACAATAAGGAAATCGGAAAAATATATGGCAGGGGCTTAAACTTCCATGGGGCATAGTCAGAATGCCAATTATTTTTTATTAAAAACACAAAAAAATTCATTGACATTTCTAAACAATAACTTTTTTTCAAAATTCACATTTCACTTACCTTGAAATTCTTTGCGTGCCGCACTCACTGACGTCACAATATTCGCAACATGCCCCAATACCGTGGCAAATAGCATTAATCCAAATAGCAGCTGTAATATCACAAATACATATTCACCCTTCGATCGTGGTTTCGGCAAATCACCGATCGTTGTTAAAGCTAACGTACACCAATAATAACTCTGTAAATATTGTTTAACTACATCGGCCGACTCCGAGTCGTGATAGACCCAGTTGCGCGAACCGAATCCATTATTTTTGTGGATGATGTGATAGAGACACCCATTCCAATGGAATATCACAAGTAGATAGTGAATGAGCGCCAGCGAACGAAATAAATTCGGATAGTTCGTATGGCGTTCGGTGCGATCCATAAATGCCCAAAATCTATAGATTTTCACTAAACGAAACGAGCGTAATATTGAATTAAATCCTATCGATAAATATAAAAAATCCAATGGCAGCAAACACAGGCAGTCTATGTAGAATATCGTCGAGTTCATATAGTGTTGCCTCAGCTTCGAGGCATCAGTCTGCAGGACACCATCCTCCAGATAGCCGGTGCGAAAATGAAAGAATATATCGATGAGATACAATAAATCGGAAAAATAGTCGAGGCAGAACCAAACAACAATTGTCCGGCGATTGATCTCCTGAAACGCGAAACGATATATGATGACCCAGAAATTATAGAGGAATGCCAGCGAAACGACCATGGACCAATAGTAGCAGAGACGCCCCGCTGGATCGAAGACAAAGTGGAATTTTCGAGCCGCCGTAACGGCACGCAGGCGTTGTGATGGTGTGCGGCGTGGTTGCTTTTTATGCAGCGGCAGTTGTTGTGGCTGTGACATTGAGGAACGTTGCATATGATGTTGCGAGGAATGTTGTTGGTTTTGTTGCTGTTGTTGATTCGAATGCTGGTGTGTTGTTGTGTGCGACGACATCGAGGCAGAATGTTGTAAGTGATGGGAGGATGTCTGCTGTTGATGATGCTGTTGGGTCGGCGTTGATGATGTGCCGGAACGATTGCGGGGATATCTGTAATGGAAAACATGGAAAAATAAGTTAATGTTAGGAATTCGTCAATTCTAATTTAAGGAAATATTTTTGACTATTCAAAGTGCATGTTTTGAAAAAAATATTTTTTCTAGACCAACACAAGGCGTCGATTTTTTAAAGAAAAAAATTCCAGGACCAATACAAGTCGTAAAATTTTAAAGAATATTTTTCGAGGACTATTTTTATTATAGAATATTTCTGGAAGGAAATTTTAGAAAAAATTTGGACCAACATAAGAAGTGGATTTTTTTAAGAACATATTTTTCCAGCGCCAATACAATAAATTTGAAGGACTCTACACGGAGTGGATTTTTTAAAGAATATTTTTAAAGGGCCAACTGAGGCGTGGATTTATTAAATAATATTTTTCAAGGGCCAACTGAGGAGTGGATTTTTTAAAGAATATTTTTTAAGGACTCTACACAAAGCGTGGATTTTTTAAAGAATATTTTTTAAGGACTCTACACAAGGCGTGGATTTTTTAAAGAATATTTTTTAAGGACTCTACACAAGGCGTGGATTTTTTAAAGAATATTTTTTAAGGACTCTACACAAAGCGTGGATTTTTTAAAGAATATTTTTTAAGGACTCTACACAAGGCGTGGATTTTTTAAAGAATATTTTTTAAGGACTCTACACAAGGCGTGGATTTTTTAAAGAAAATTTTTAAGGACCCTACACAAGGCGTGGATTTTTAAAGAATATTTTAAGGACTCTTGACAAGGCGTGCATTTTTTAAGAATATTTTACTGGACTTAAACAAGGTGTGAATTTTTTAAGGATATTTTCCTGGACCTACACAAGGCGTGAATTTTTTAAGAATATTTTACTGAGCCTAAACAAAGCGTGAATTTTTTAAGGATATTTTACTGAGCCTAAACAAGGCGTGAATTTGATAAGAATATTTTACTGAGCCTAAACAAGGCGTGAATTTTTTAAGGATATTTTCCTGGACCTACACAAGGCGTGGAATCTGCAAAGGTCTTCTCATATAAAAGCTATAACCAAACCATTACCACTAACAATACTCGCATGCCAGTACTGTTGATGCGAAATTGATGGAATCATATCCTTGAATTCATTCTTTGTTCACATTCCCACCAAAAATGTTCATTAATTACATGACCAATCAAACAACATTACGTGCCATGAACTAATTACGGAATATTGGGCACTCCCTTGCCGAATTCGGTTATTTGTTCGTTTACCCTATTCCTTAATGGTAGGTAGATATTCGCCACTGCTGTGTGTTATACACAGCACTCCCTTTGAGCAATAGGAAATACTGCACACATTTGCACTTTGATGCGTTCACTTTTCAGAAAATGATCAAAGTGAAATGCGAAACAAAACAAAAATCGAATGGGATAATCTCAGTCGCCAATAAAAACCCCTCCGTCGCCCCAAAATAGGGAGTAAAACTGCCAAACAACAACGGCAATCAAATGTAGCAATGTAGCTTTGCCGGACTTTACGCTAAAGTCAGCAATTTTTCAAATGAACTTTTTTTGTGTTTTTTTTTCTACTCCATCACTTTGACAATTTTACACCGAAAAAGTGTGTACGAATGAAAGCGGAACAGTACCCTTCGAACTCTACTCTTGAATGGCAATACAGTCATAGAACTGGCTAGCAAACTTGAATGCTTCGGAGTAAAGCAATAAATTCAAGTAAATCTACGTTTCATTCAACCGTTGGGAGTCACTACAGTTCGGAGAAGTGGAATTTAAAATAAAAGGAACAACAAATGCAAAGAGTTTGCAGCTGAACAATGTCGTTGTGTTCAGTTGTTGTTGCTGTTGTTTTTTTTCTTCTTAAAGAAACTGTGAAAGAATATTAACTAAAGTGATGGGTCAAATATATTTATATTGAATGCAGTTGTGTGTGAAAAGGTAGGGTTGTACTCTAGAAGGAACAATTTTGTTTATTAAGAGCAAAAGATTTTATAAATGAAAAATTGAATGTTAATGTAATTCCTTTCAAAATAATGTTAGGAAGCTTGCGGGAGGATATACCAAGTGGATCAATGGGTTCCATCTTCGGACGCCATCAAGGTGTGGTAAAGGTATTACGATTTACAAAGTTTGGATCAAGCTGGATATTAACAAATTTTCAAAATGTTGGTCCTTCGCAGGGAAGGTACCAGAGAGAGTGGACCGATGGGTCCTACAGACATGATTAAGATTTTGTAAAATTTTTATTTAAGATTTTAAAATTTTGCGTGGTATTGATTTAAAAAATTTTAAAACATTTGACAATTTTTAGCGCAGCTACCAGAAGGAGATGACTGACGAGTGCCATTTTGGGACCTGATCTAGAATTGGTAAAACTATTACGATGTGTAAAGTTTGGATCAAATCGGACATTCCATTCGTTTGATATTGAATTAAAAAATTCAAAATATTGACACTTCGGGGGGGAAGTGCCATAAAGAGTGGGCCAACGGATCCCATCTTCGAACACGCTTGGCATTAAATTGACAAATTTTCAAAATATTGGCACTTTGTGGATGAGCTACCAGAAGGAGTGAACATATGGGTTCTATTTTCAGACTTGATCTAGGATTTGAAAAATATTGCGATGAGTGAAGATTGGGTCATGTCGGAATTCCATTAGCTATATATTTCATTTATAATAATTGATATTTTTGTGCCATTGTGGGGGAGGTACTAGAAGGAATGAGCCGATCCCAATCTACAGGCTTAGTGAAAGTATTGTGTTGTGCGAAGTCGGACTATCCGAAGATAGAAGATTGGAAGATATTTTACAAAGTGCAAAGTTTGGGTGAAATCGATTACCTCCTTCGATAGTTATCGTCTGCACCAGCCAGCTACACACACACACAGAAGGACAGACTGACATTTTTAAATCGACTTCAAATTGTATGAAATGGATTCGATCCAAAGAAACATGGGAACTAAAACCAATATATCGACATATTTACCATATAAAATTATAATACATTTTTATACCCTTCACCACACAGTGGTATTATGTCTTTGTACATATGTTTGTAACGAGATAGACCCAAAATTCTTTTTGGGAATATGCATAGAATCCCTCCATTTCTGTCCGTCTGTGCATGTTAAATCGTCAGCAAATTACTGGTCGTATTGATGATCCGATTTGAATGAAATTTGGCACATCTCATTTGTTTCGCTTAAGGACGAAACCTATCTAAATTGGGAAAAATCGGTTCAGATTTAGATATAGCTCTGATATATATTTTCGTCAGATTTAATGTAAATGGCGCACCAAAGTCCATATATATTTTTCGATTTACACGAAATTTGGGATAGTGTACTGAATTAAGTCTGTAATGATGTGTGCTAAGTTTCGTGGCAATTGGTTCAGATTTAGATATAGCTCCCATATATATTTTTCGCCGATTAAATAGAAATGGTACACCAATGATACTATATACAGTGGTGGTCACAGAATTAAAACATTTACTGAGGTAAACATTTTTTGGTCAGCCCTCGATCCGTTTGAAGTATTTTTGAAATTTTTTTATTTCAGAATACTTCGATATACTGCACTTAAGAGATTTAGTGTGAAAATAGAAAATTATTCCATGCAATTTTTCCATAAATAATGGTTTTTATGAAAATATATCGACTTTGAAGTGGCCATATAATTAAAACATTGTGTGATTTTTAAATTGACTGCATTTTTTGAAAATATTTTTAGAAAAGCTCTTTACTTTAGTTAAATTATGTGAACTAAGCACCGATAAAATCATTTACAGATAAAAAAATTTGAAAAAATTCAGTAAAATCTATCAAAATTGTCAAAAAATTGTACAGTACACCTTACATTCAGAAAATCACCCTTATTATAAAAAATAAAGGTCCGGATGCACCAGAAATTTCTAGAATTAGTAGAAAACAATAAATAATTCGCAAAATAAATAAGTATTTGAAATAAAAACTCAAAAAATGGGAATTAACCTAAAAGAACGATTCAATTTCAATAGCCTTTACTGAAGAAGGCCGGAATATTTTTGCAGTATGTGAGAAAATATCGATTGATATTTGTATTTATTATATCAAATCGATTGTTCGAGTAGTACAGAATATATTTTATCAAAAATATATCAGTCACAACAGAACGAACAGAGATCAACGCCTATGTTGACGAGTAAAGTTTCTGGCACACAGCAGCATTTTTGATGTTCAACACAATACTTCAAATATTTGTCAAATTGTAAAATTTTTCATTCCTTGATACTAAAATAGATTAAGTGGAGGATATTCGATTCAAAAAATATTATTTTGGAAAAATATTGTCATGTTCAATAGATTTTAAGGGCCAAGAGTTCACCATCAAACATGCTGCTGTGTGCTAGAAACTTTTACTCGTCAGCATAGGCGTTGATCTCTGTTCGTTTTGTTGTGACTGATATATTTTTTGATAAAATATATTCTGTACTACTCGAACAATCGATTTGATATAATAAATACAAATATCAATCGATATTTTCTCACATACTGCAAAAATATTTCGGCCTTCTTCAGTAAAGGCTATTGAAATTGAATCGTTCCTTTAGGTTAATTCCCATTTTTGAGTTTTTATTTCAAATACTTATTTATTTTGCGAATTATTTATTGTTTTCTCATAATTCTAGAAATTTCTGGTGCATCCGGACCTTTATTTTTTATAATAAGGGTGATTTTCTGAATGTAAGGTGTACTGTACAATTTTTTGACAATTTTGATAGATTTTACTGACTTTTTTCAAAATTTTTTATCTGTAAATGATTTTATCGGTGCTTAGTTCACATAATTTAACTAAAGTAAAGAGCTTTTCTAAAAATATTTTCAAAAAATGCAGTCAATTTAAAAATCACACAATGTTTTAATTATATGGCCACTTCAAAGTCGATATATTTTCATAAAAACCATTATTTATGGAAAAATTGCATGGAATAATTTTCTATTTTCACACTAAATCTCTTAAGTGCAGTATATCGAAGTGTT